TCTCTCCCTAAGGACATCAGGCAAGCCCCAGCCAGGATAACTGCATGCCCATCCCCCTCCAAACACCTACCCTTTTCACCTGGTCATGCCCAGCACTTTTTAATTTTAATTATTACATTTGGCCCTGCCACAGATTTTAATTGCGTCATGGTGTGTTGTTAATGTTATTGCTTTGTTTTTGAGTTATTTTGTTGTTGTTGTTTTTACTATTGTATTTGGGCTCGGCCTCTTGTAAGCCGCACCGAGTCCTCCGGGAGATGGTAGCGGGGTACAAATAAAGGATTATTATTATTATTATTATTATTATTATTATTACTACTGTCATTGTGGGGTGTGTGTGTTGAATGTTCTCATTAAGGAGGCAGACTTGGTGGAGGTGGTTGACAGGGGCGGAGCTGCAGACTATTGAAAGCTGCTCTGCCCCCTGCTGTGCTCTTTGCTTCAGCGTGAGCTAAGAAGCAGGTTTCAACCCCCCCTCAAAATTTTCAGCCCCCCCCCCAAAATTTCAACCCCTCCCGAAATTTTTTTCTGGCTACGGCCCTGGTCAAAACACCTGCGGACCCACAAGCTGAGAACCACTGCATAGTCATTGTATTGAAATGTTTTTAATGAAAAAGGAATACATTCCAATTCAAAAGAAATATGTACAAAATGAGATTCTTATGTGCTTGCAGATACACAAAGTTAGTTTATTTTCCTTAAAATCTTTTTTAAAAAGGCTTTCAATATCTTCAGATTATACAGATAATCCCCTGTTAGCCTCAAAATCATGGGTAGGAATTATGTGGATTTCAAAATATGATTAAATTGTAACAGCCAGCATAGACAAAGGAGAGGAAAACTGGAAGTTACAATTCAGCAACATCTGGTGGACTGCACAATTTCCAACACTGTTTAAAATGCTTGAATGATTTCTACATCAAAGAGTATCTTTATGGACAAAATTTATAAAGAAAATATTTATTCTCCATATACATCTGAGAGCAATCACAATCTGGGTTTCATTCCAAGGTTAGTTTTTGTTCCTGCAGTAGAAGTGGAACTCTACGTCCAGAGATTGTCATCTGAAACTATTAGGCCAGGGACCGAGCTTTGAGAGTTAACTTTTCAATGAAATTACTCACTACAGACAAAGAAAGTACTTTGCAATGTTACAACTTTTACCTTTTTTATTTTCATAAAATAAAGCAATACCTTTATAATATAGCAGACATATAATATGCTTTCCCCACATTAATCTCATTATATCTACTGTAAATGTCACTCTTATCTATGCTTTTCTATGAGCCACTTATTTTTATATTCTCTGTCCAAAATTTCATTTTTTTTTCTTGTGGAGATAACTTTCAATTCTTCTTTTCAAATCCTCTTTCAATAATTTTTCCCCAGACATCACGAATCATTTTACTCCATATTCCTTTCTTAACGTTTAACCAACATGTCAACTTATCATTTCTTGCCATTTTCCATAATTCCTTATATGATTCTTTGATTTGTATATTTATTTCCCTTTCCAATTCCTTGCAATAAGCAACCTTGCTACTGTTAGTAAAATAGATATTGCATCTTTTCCCTTTTCAACTGTTTGTTGTTATATAATTATAACAAAGCAATACTAAGGCTTCTTTCTTTCTTTATATTGATAATATCGTCTTTCTATCTAAATACCTTTCCCTAAAATTTACTAACATATTTACATCACTACCACCTATGTATATGTGTTCCCAATTCCTGGCATCCTCTCCATCAGTTTTTTTGAATAATTTTTATTTATATTTGCTATTTTTACTGGTGTTAGATAGCATTTTCATATCAATTTATAACAATCTTCTTTAATTCATATTATTAAGTTTTCCCAATGTTACAACTTTTAAAAACATGATTTAGTACTTTCCTATCTATGGGAAGTAACTGATTATTGGTCTGTGCCTTCAGAATGTTTCTGACTTATGGTGACTTTAAGGCAACATTATAAACCCTTGTGCTGGCTGGACTGCTGACTGACAGGTAAGCGGTTCAAATCTGAGGAGAGTGGGTTGAGCTCCCTCTGTCAGCTCCTGCTCCCCATGTGGGAACATGAGAGAAGCTTCCCACAAGTATTATAAAACATCAGTTCTCTCACACCAGAAGTGACTTGCACTTTCTCAAGTCACTCCTGGCACACACACACAAATATTAAGGCTAATGGTGTGACTTGCCCAAGGCCATGCAGTGGGTTTTCATAATCAAGCAGAAATTAGAACTCCAGGGTTGCAGTCCAACACTCTAACCACTGGTTAGATAGTGGTGCCTATATTTAACACTCTGTTAAAGTTCCTAGTTACCCGCCTGCCCTTAACAGTCCCAATATTGCAGGGAGAGATCCAATTGGCCCCCTGCCATTCCACTTTTCTGCTGCTTTTAAAATGTCCCAGTTTCTCTCCAATCTTTCCACAATCCCCCTTGATCCTCAGCTTACTTCACCTGTAGCTAAAATTGTGTGCACTCTATTAATTCAGAAATAATGAAAGGAGAATTGAGGAACCATTTTGCTTTTCCCAGTAGGCAAGAGCAAACAGTTGTAACTTCTCCTAACTAGTGTCTCTCCCATTCATAAATAACTTTACCATCTTTGCCACATATGTCCCAGTTTTCAACTGCAAAATGTTGGAAAGTATGCTACTGCTGTGCACCAAATTTAGAGAGTGAAGAAAATTTGTTTTGAGTGAGGCTTCTTATTTGGGAGCCAATGTCCTTGTTTTGTCACCTGTAGTTTTTTTTCTCACTGCTTCTCTGCATAGTATCATGCTTTTTTGGTTTAAACTCCAAGCTAGTTTTTGAAATGGTTCTCATTTCCCCCTGATGGCCTACTCTTAATCATTAGGATTTGAAACAATCTCCTTGGGAGTGCCTTCAGTTACACTAGACATGTCTGTGGCTTTACTGTATCAGAGAAAAACAAATAGTTAAGATTAAACAATCAAAGTGCAATCAGTATATATATGATTTATTGCATCTAGTAAATTGGCAACTCATATTTGCATACCCATAATAGTAGACCGCAATTTCTCTTGGGACTCCATCAGAATTTTTTTCTAGCCACAGTACTTTGGAAATAAATACCAAACATAGATGTTAATTTGCTGTTGCTTTGGGCAACAACATAATATCTCAGCATAAAACCACAGAATTTGGTATCATGGAAAAACACCTTTGAATAAACAACTGGTGTCGCTCCACTTGCTGCAATTTGAGCCCACTAAATGAGATGTTTTTTCCAGATGTTTGAGGAATTATTGCAAAATTATCTACCATCTTGAAAGGACTGTGGAACATTTTTTCATTCACTTTGTATTATGCCTTCAGTAAATCATCACTTTACCCACATTTTGTTTTTTATTTTGTTTCTGCTTCATTTGCATTCTCCATACTTACACACCATAGTCTATCTTAAATGCAACCTCATTCTTTCTTTTTGTTGTTTTGTTGTGTGCTTTCAAGTCTTTTCTGACTTGTAACAATCCTAAAGTGAATTTATCACAGCATTTTCGTGGAAAGATTGGTTCAGGGGAAGTGGGAGTTGCCTTCAAACCACTACACCATATTAGTTCTCTAGTGTTTCAAAAATAAATGTTATTGAACTTAATGGTTCTTCCTTCTGATCTAACATTTATAGATTTGTATTGTTGACCATGTTCTTTGATTACTACAAGGAAAATATTCCCATCAAACTACTGAGGACATGAAATATTTTTACAAACCTAACATTTAACAACTCTGATACAGGCATTTTAAAATTGATTCCAGGACACAAAAATGTGGGATCACATCTCAGGAGAATTAGGTTATAAAATTACTGAATGGACTCCACATATGTACTTGTATTTGGAGAAGTCATACAGACTTCCTAAACTACTTTTGTGACTCTTCATTCAATTAGAATTCCAAAATATGTTTAGGAGCTCTCCGAGTTTATTTTTATCATGGTTTCCAACTGTGATCTGAATTGATATGAGTAGTGTTATTGATGATAAAAAGGAAGTAAACACATACTACTTTCTCCTCCTATCTCTAAATTTCAGGGTGCATCCAGATAGGGCACAAAACATTTGCCCTCCCAGATATTTGCAGGGGATGTCCAAACTATACCCAACAAAATTACGAATGCTTTTAGAACAAAGCAGGAAAACGCTGCTTTGTGATGAGGTAATGTGATAGTGGGTTTGATTCCTGCCTTCTTGAAAGGCACAGGTCAAACTGACTATGGCAACTGTCTGGACTGCCCCCTCAGAAGTCCTGGACTTCTGAGAAGGCAGTCCAGACTGTTCCCTCGTAATTTTCTGGGCACCAACCCCTTCCCCAATCACCCTTTAAAAATAATAATAATTTATGGGGCCAGTATTTTCCTGCTACCAGCCCTCTCCTGGTACTTAGGAATGATGCGCCAGGAGAAAGGTGGAAGAAAATAACTCCTGTCCCCCCTTCTGGTGTGTCATTCCTAAGTGCCAGGAGAGTGCCGGCAGCACATTAATGGTGGCTGGGTACGTTCTATATATATATATATATATATATATATATATATATATATATATATATATGTATATATGTATATATGTATATATGTATATATGTATATATGTATATATATACACATACACACACACACACACAAAGTTTTGGGAGAGGTTGGAGAGGGGGTCTGAGTATCTAGCTATCCTCCTGGAAGGTTATGGGGAGGCATGTAGAAACTCAGCCCCAAAAGCATGTGTTTTCTAGGCTGGTATGCAAACTACAGTCCATCCTGACCCGGGTTTTTTAAAGTGTGGAATTTACTGCTGTTTGAAACCACCCTCAGTATATCAAGATTCTTATAAATCTTTTTGTAAGCATACTCTTTGGGGAGTTTTTGTTGTTGTTGTTGTTCATTCGTTCAGTCGTCTCCGACTCTTTACAGCCATTTATTTGTTTCACCCCAAAAGGAAAAAAATTCATTTAAGAAACAACAGTTTATGAACATGTACCTTGCACTGCTCAGACGCATATGGTATTTGTAAAGCATCCATTGCTCTGATCATAGCCTGCATAGCAGAATAGATATTTTGATAAATCATTTTTTGGAAGCCTTTCCGATCTTCTTCCGTGTAGCCTGTTCCATGAATAATCCTCATCTGTTTAATAAATGTACTTTTTCCACTTTCTCCTGTACCTGCAATAAAACACAGGAAGAGAGCAAGTGAGTCTTCACAAAGCAACATAAGGCATCAAGGAGTGGAGTGGGGTTTAACAGAAATCTCTGCTATATGAAAATTCATTGATGTAAAATTGATTACAGCCTTCCTCAACATTTTTTCACTATGAGGAACACCTGAAATAATCATCAGGTCTCAGGGAACCACTCCATAAAAATTAAAAAGCCCTTAGTGACCTTTTTGAGAAACCCCAGGGTTCCCAGAGGGCCCCGATTTCTTGTCTTCTGTTTAACTGGGAGGATTTTATAGCACTTGTATTACTGGCACTTTAAATATTATGACAAAATTATTCCTACACAAGTTAATATAGCCTGATTAAAAACTGAACTGAAATATTTAGATTTTAGAGTGTAAGCAGTGACCATATAGTAATTTTATAACTTAAGAATAAAGCAAAGATACAAACTGTGAAGTTATTCAGTGGGAAGGTTTTAAGGATAAAAACACCATATTCAGACGGAATTCAAATACCGAGTGTGGAATAAAGCACTAAGTGCAAAATTTAGCTCTCTAAAAACATCTCTAATTTTATGGGTTTGATCCCTTATGTTTGTGAAAGACATATCCAAGGGCATGTGGACAATGCCTGTGAACACCTCAGAAACCATCACTATCAAAATTAGAATTATGCATAATCACAAACATTACAAAGGTTATAAAAATGGGAGATACTGTGCAAAATTGTTGTACAAAATACAGATTGTAAGCAGAAATTTGAAAATAAAAGCATGCATCTCATTCCCTACCTGGAATGAAGTATACATAACTCTGATTCCATTACTCTAATTCCACAGATATCGAGAAAATGCTTGGCACTCTCTAAACATGAAATGATGTTAAGATTGGACCACAGGCAGCTGTCAAAGATTAGCCAGAAACCACAAGAAAACTATGTATGCATGTATGTGTTAGATTTATATTTCTCTGACTATCTATTGAGTTTCATAGATTTGTGGATACTATATTTCTCCAAAAAATAAGACCAAGTCTTATATTATTTTTAATCATATAAGACACGTTAGGGCTTATTTTCAGAGGATGCCTTCTTTTTTCATGAAGAACAATATACATTTGTTCACTTTTTCATGTACAATAACGGACATTTGTTCAAGTACAAAAATCTATATTTATTCATACATAGTTATTATCTTCTGGAACATTCTCATAATACTATGTCAGCAATATTATTTATGTATGTATTAATATTATTTTATAATAATCCATCATGTCCATTGTGCATTGCAATGGGTGTACTACCGGCAAATACATCTGCCTGGTTGACTATTTTGACTGGGGCTTATTTTAGGTGTAGGGTTAATATTACCAGAATCCTGAAAAATCATACTAGGGTTTATTTTCCAGTTAGGTCTTATTTTCAGGAAAACAGGGTACTTCATCCTGGCCATCCCAACATTCTAACAAATACACATCAGTCACAATTTTATAGCCATGAACAAAGAGCTTCTCAAAGGAAGCAATGAGTAATTATAGCAATTTTCTTCCCACTCTTAAAAAAAAAAAAAAAGCTCCAAAACAATGCAGTTTTTGAAATCAAGTTGCAATTCAGCACTTTTTTTTTTACAAAATTTACACATGGTTGTTTTTGCACAAAAACAGCATCTTTTGTGCAAAGAAAAATTACATGGAAATATAATTTTCTGTGCAGAAAAAGTTGTCTCCTGTGCATAAAATGCTACAAAATTCACATGTTGTTAGTTTGCATAGAAAACAGTATTCACTCAAACTGCAAAGATTTTTTTTAACTCAAAGTTAACCCAAGGTTAAAAAAAACTTGGGTTAGTTGGGTTTGTAACTTTACGGTATTTGTAGCTAGTAACTTTGCCAAGTTCTAGTATAAGATGGCTTCTTGGTAATATTCTAGTTTGACACTGCATTCATTCAACAAAGATTCCCATTTTGCTATGTTTCCCACTCCATACACTTTTTATGTGTGTATGTGTGTATGTGTACATGTGTATATATACCGTGTATGTTTTTTTAAGAGCTGATCTACCTAAAAAACAAAAGAATAGCATTTTCTCCTTACTACCACTAGAGGTCATAAATACTCAGTCCAAGAATATTCAGACATAAATTACAGTACATGGTTGCATGACATCTTAGTATATATGCATTTTGATACAGCTTACAACTGTTTGAGGTTTTCTAAAATTGATTTATAAATTCTAATTGCACCCAGGAAAGTGTTGTTGAGGTATCCAAATGACTTCTGTTTCTGGTTACACATTTACTTGTAGTGGACAGCTCTCACCAAAAGTTGTCATCAAATGCTTTTCTGTCTTACTCCCCCTTGTTTTCAAATGACATGACAATTCTTTTATTCCGTTTAATCTACAATCTGCATGAACTCAGAAAGCATGCAGTGTCTGCTCTGGGATGATTCAACCATCTTTCACTGAACAGTATAGCATAAAGTTGCCTGACAGGAGAAAATTCAATGTTCATCAATGGGAGAGAACTAGATTCTGAATTTCTTCTAGCAACCTACAGGCAGTAACTAACATAAATGTTATCAAATTATTAGTGGTCCTAATAGCAAGTAAATTATGTACCACAAGTGATAAAAACAAATTTAATTAGAAATTGGACAAAAAATATTTTCTGGGCTAAGGATTTTTTCATAACCCTGCCTTCCTGTGGCTCCTTTAATTTTTTTAATTTTATTTTACAACATTTAAAATTTTTAAAAGACAAATATAAATATAATATGTTAAATACATGCCGTCCCTGAGTTACAAACACATGACTTACAAATGACTCATAGTTAAGAACAGGGGTGAGACAACAGGAAGTGAGAGAAATCTACCCCTCGGAAGGGAAATTCACTCCTGAAAGAGATTAAATCTTCTGAAAGGGGGCACACACAGCAAAACAAATACTACAGAAGTTTTAACTCTTTTCTATGCTATCTAAAGCTTAAATATATACATTTTTGGCAGGAGTAACACTTTAAAAATGTATGTGTTCTGACTCACATACAAATTCAGTTTAAGAACAAACCTACAGAACCTATCTTGTTCATAACTTGGGGACTGTCTGTAAAAGGAATACTGACATTTGGGAATAGCAATGGGAAAGGGGGTCAGAGGAGGAGAATCGTCCTCTGGCATCACTATAATGGCAGCACAAAAGCAGAAGGGACCCATCATACTAAGGTAGAAGGTGGGAATGTAATGGGATCAGGAACTATTGATGGGTTTTACCCACCAATAGAGATGGGACAATTGCAGGTGGGGGGTGGCAGGGGGGTAAATCATTAGCAGGCTGCCCACAACATCATGTGATAGGGACCATTGCCAAAGGTGATGATCCAGCTTCAATGCCCGTTTGCAATGAAGTCCTATAATTCCCAGCATGGTTGGTGAATTATTTTTTTTTGGGGGGGGGGCGGGGGGAGTGTTGGAAGTTGTCATCTGAAAAAGTAACTATTGAGGGTGACTACTGAACAGTCATATTAAAAGATAAGAAGCAGACAGAAGGAACAAATGTCTGGCATTACTTCCCCCTCCAGAGATAACTGGTTTCAGGAGATGTGGATTTGAAGAATAGGATATCTATACTCTGTGCCTAAAAGTTCTTCCTGAAGTCACACCAAGAGCTGCTGTGGTTTTTCCCCTCATCCCACTCCAGGTAATCCAATATAGATCAGAGGACATAAAAAGTTTTGAAAACATACAGAACAAAAAGGAGGAGGAGGGGGAGGGGAGGAGGAGGGGAAGGGGATGGGGAAGGGGACAGGGAAGGGGAAGGGGAAGGGGAAGGGGAACATGTATGTGTTGATGTACTGATGCATGCATGCACTGAAAAATAAATGCTCAGTTAAAGCGAATCCTGCACTTAATATCCTTAATCCTATTATTTCCAACAAAAGTCAGCCTATTGAATTAACAGGCTTTGCATAAATCTTGACTTATCATTTAACAGAGCTACACTACATGAGACTGCAAGCAAGATTCAGGCTAGTGTTCCCACATCTGTGTTTGTGTGCCTTCAAGTTGCCTGCTGATTTATGGTGAGCCCCGTTAATTTCATAACATTGGAATGTTCCTTGCTTACAAAAACCCTATGAAATTAATGGGGTCACTATAAATCAGCAGGTGATTTTGTCAGTTCCCTTCTCTGAATCAGAGCCTACCGCACCAAGTATTCCTTTAGCACACACTCATCCAAGTACTTATCAATGCGGACCCTGTTTATAAATTATGTATCTTGATATGCATTGTAGAAGTAGTTACTATTTAAAAGATCAGAATTGATGTTATGCAGAATTTTACAATGATGGACCTCCAAAATTGTATTTTATCAAATAGCCACACCTTTTCCTCCACCTCCATAAGGCTAGGTAAGGGACATTGAGAGCAGGAATGTTTTCCCTTCCACTTTTTCTCTTGAGTTTCAGTGTGACGGAAGGAAACACTTATTTATATGTTTTCTCTCATGGAGCTAACATTTGTTTTCTAGTAGCTCTGGTAGATGATAGAGAGAAAAGTCGTGTTTATGTACAGCAAGTTTTAAAAGCATCAAATCTTTGTAAGAAAATGACATATGGCAAAGCTGACTGTAAGAGCTGTTCAACAGTGAAACTCACTGCCTCTGAGTATGGCTCCTTCTTTGGACACTTTAATCAGAGGCTGGATGGCCGTCTTTCGGGGAGCCTGGAAACCAGGATTCAAATACCTGCTTCACCATGAAAACCCACTGGGTGGATCACACTCTCTCAGCCTCAGCGGAAGGAAAAGGCAAACACTTCTGAACAAATCTTAATAAGAAAACCTGGTGAAATATTTGTCTTAGGGTTGCCATAACAATAGCAACAACAAAACAAACCTGTCGTGAGGCTTTCTTGGTAAGATTTGTTTACACATGTATGAACTAACAATAAAAAATGTAATATAAAGAGGGAAGAGCATAATTAGAAAAAGAACTGAGAGAATAC